CACACACTAACTCGAAACAGAATCGTAAATTATCCGAAACTTACCGTAACTACTGTTTGCTTTATCATCAACTTATCTGCTGGCTTAACTGCCAGGCTTATATATTAACAAAGAGACGTCTCCAAAATTCGCGGAGTTCCCCGATAATTCGAGAAATTCAGTCACGCATGCGCCAGCAGCGTCACGTGACTTCTGGTGTCGTAATAATATATATACTGCATTTTGGCGCGTCACATTGGTTATATTTATAGGCGTGAGAAGAGATTCTCGAAATTTCAATACTGACGATACACTAGTGTTTACGTATGTACACACATGTATTGTCGATTCTTACACTCAGGAATTTTATACAACTTTAGTGAATAGGCGGGAATTTAACAGTGTAAGTTATGTACAGTTCTAAATATAAATTTAACTTAAACAAACATCGATATTAAAATAGATATAGGATAGTAAATCCGTCACAGTAACTATCATGGGATGTTATACTGTCGAGAACACTTTCGCACTCCTTTTTTTTTTGGTAATTATCGACAATATACATCATCGCTTAGCAACAAAACTATTATGGGATGTTATAGTGGTTTTTAACTATTTGGGGATGTTATAGGGTAGTTTTAACTATTATTGGACTAGCGTATAGCCCGTCAAAAATGACGGGGCAAGTGCTAACACCCATACCCCAAAGTATACCTTTACCTCACAGTTGATAGCTAACTGAAATAAACAAGTTTTGCGAAATCAAGTTTGACCAACAAAGAGGCAGAAAAGTGCGTCGCGGCTGTCAAACGTCTCTATGTTCTTTTTAATAAGGCAAGCTTGCAAAAAAAAAATTCCATAGGAAGGAGTGATTCCTATATAACAACTTCTAATATATAGAAAAGCCAGCGCGTTTTGGTAACTCTGCGTTCCAACAATGGCTTTTATATCATGTTGATTAGCAATAAAACTATAACCAAATATTGTTGTTAAGAAGCTACGTGATGAAAGTATAAAATGAAATGTATAAACTAAAAAATAGAAAAACTATATATATTTATTGTTAATTTAGAGGCTCTATTAATTAAAGAGGCTTGTTTTTTATTATTTGTTTTTAATATTTTTGTTATTTAAAATCGGAGGACAAGTCAGAGGGAAGGTTAACTTTATAAACAGGCCACATTCCGTAAAGAAGCGACAAAAGCATATAGGTTATAGTTTTATGCTAAAATGGGTTCAGAATACACACACTCTGACATAGTCATCTAGAATATATCACCCTAATAACTCGAGGAAGCCGGGTACTTTCGCCGATGCTTTATAAATAGTCATTATTGTTAATGATTTGCACCCTTTCGCAATATCTTCAATTTTGTGAAGGTAGGCAACGCTCTGATTAACTATATTTCTGATTATTTTAAAGTGGTTGCTCCAGAAGCTTAGAATTAACGGCGATTCCGAGGAATTTGATGCTTCTGGAGAATTTTAATTAGGTGTCATAAAGCTTAAGTTTAACTTTAGACAGGTTTTGTTTTCTTTTGCGGTTAATTCATCTATTAGAGATAATGGATTGTGTTTTAGTTAGAACAGGCTACAAAATAATTCATTGAAGCGGCTGTCAGTGGTTCACAAGACGTGCTCCATATTGCTATGTAGTCAACACACTGGTATGCATGTGTGGGTGTAAGCTTTGGAAGTGAGATATCGTTGATAAATAATATGTATAGCAAGGGCTTAGAACGTACCCCTGCGGAACTCCTGTTTGTAAATAAAAGTGATTATATGTAGCATTACTGATTTTAATATTTGCATGTCTATTGGATATAAAGCTAGGAATTATTGGGTGATTGTGAGTGGGAAGTAAAGTTGTTGTTATTTGTAGTTAAGCACAAAGCTACACAAAGGACTATCTATGTTCTGCCCACCACGAGTATCGAAATCCGGTTTCTAGCGGTGGGAAGTTAAGTTGTGCTAGTTTAAAGCGTAAGCCGTCACGCCATACGGAATGAAACGCTTTTTAAACATCTAAAAATACTCCAAGTGTAGTAAGTTTTGTTGTTGTTGTTATTGAAACCTTGGATAATTGTTTCGGTTAGTCTAACAGGATGATCTAAAATGTGTCTGTTTTTTCTTTATGCGTTCTGTATGTTGGAATAAATGTTGTTATTTTCCAAGCACCACAATACGCGGGTTGTGATTATTTTTTTCCATAAACTTTTCGATACAGTTGAGTAGGCTAATGGGTCGATAGTTGTTGGGGTCAGTTATATTTTGAAGTTGTTCCATTCTATGCTTGGCAGTTATTTAGGTTATTATATAACAAGGAGTGCTCAGAAATCCTTAATGGTGGTTAATGTTTATTGTAAAGTCCTACGTGAAAAACAACAACAAAAAACGACGAGCATGTAAAGTTTTTCTCTCACATTGGTGTTTGAATGGAGCGTGCATGAAATGAAGTCGCCTCAGGAAAACCTTAGATGTTGTGGTACTTGATTACTGCTTCTCATCTTCATTACTTCTATTTTCAAAACAAACGGCCCGTAGAGGATTATGGTCTTTCAAGGAGACGGGGATACGTAAATCCTATGCCTGAGCTGGGATCGATAAATACAATGCCCGAGAATTAGATGTGTGTGTGGTGGGGGGGGAGGGGGGGAGTGCCCCGAGAAAACCTACTTTCACTAGTCAGGTGTCGAATATTTTACTTGACCAGTGCCCGAAATGACCTAGAATAAAAGAGAAAATAATAAAGGTTAGTACGCATACGTGACTAATTGGATAGCACCACCTGTTGATTAGTAGTACACATACATGACTAATTGGATAGCACTACCTGTTGATTAGTAGTACACATACATGACTAATTGGATAGCACTACCAGGGTCGTCGTCGTGGGGTAAGGAGGATCTCTGGAATAAGTCGAACTTTGTGTGCGGAAAAACACCACGAGTCTTGTTGACGTAGCCATACCTGAAGGGTAAAGGCTCAAGGAAACGTCTTGATTGGCGGGTGATTCTGACCGGCTCTTCCTGGTCTTCGATTTTCTTCTTGTTGATAATAGGCCTGGTTTTTCTGTTAGAGTCTAGTCCCTGATCGAGGTTAAGACCTGCCTTTTCATTTTCATTCTCAGATCTTCTTTAGTTATTCCTAAGTTTCCAGTATTGTTCCTTGTAACATTTTCACAAAACATCATAGTCCACAAAAAATTTTAATCAACATAGAACTTTATCTATATACTTTAAGTTTGTTTGTTTATTATGGATTTCGCGCAAAGCTACACGAGGGCTATCTGCGCTAGCCGTCCCTAATTTAGCAGTGTAAGACTAGAGGGCAAGCAGATAGCCATCACCACCCACTGCCAACTCTTGGGCTACTCTTTTACCAACGAATATTGGGATTGACCGTAACGTTATTATAACGCCCCCACAGCTGAAAGGGCGAGTATGTTTGGTGTGACGGGGATTCGAACTCGCGACCCGCAGATTGCGAGTCGAGCGCTCTAACCACCTGGCCATGCCGGGACTGTACTTTAAGTTACGTCTTTACCCTAGCAATTTAATTGTAAGCCCGTGCATTACATGTTACATGGTATTTTATTTATATTCTTTAAATGTGCTTATAGTATAGTATTTTAGCTTTGTACTGGAATTATAACTGTTCCATGTTAGTTTAGATACCTGTTGTAAATTAAAGTTCAACAATGGAATTTTATTTACATGCTATAAATCATTGATATGTCATGTTTTTTCACCATGTGATAGAGACTTTATCTGTATCATAACAGATTCGCATTACTGACCATATTCTGTACTCAGGCATATTAGCTTTAAATGTTGAATTGAAACTGTATCATAGCAAAATTAGCTACATCCTATAAATTATAGCATTTCACTTATGTGCCATAAATTGCATCCTGTGCCACGTAATATTTTCTTTGTTTTTGAAATTAACTTAGCTATATCTTAACATCTTAGCATATGCTGTAAATTCGCTTGTGTTATTGTATTTGCATCCTGAATAGTACCGCATTGCCTTAGCATTTTAGCTATATACCGTAAATTTCATGTGTAACGTAGCGTTTTACTATAGAATAGTGTATTTTTAAACTACAAATGGCAACTGTAATAAAATATTTGTTTGAATAGAAAATTATCTGTGTGCTATTAACGAAAACTGTAATACTCTCTTTTATCTTTATTCTATAAATTGCAGATGTAACAGAATTTGAAATGTACTATATTAAATACTGCTGTACGATAGCCTTTAATGTATATCCTATAATTGGCATCTGTAGAATAACATTTTACAAGTTAATTTTGTGGGTAAAATTTTGTTTAATATTATCTAATTTAATATGGCTTTAGTGCTAAATATATGCCTATAAGTAAAATAGGTATAAATTCAAGGACTTACTCTCAAGTTTTGAGTTTACACATAAACCTTTCTTTGTTATCTGTATAATTCATTAATAATTTTCAATTAATACCATGTTATATAGATTATGTAATGTTCATGTGCAAATTTAAATTTTATATTAATTTTGTCTTCTTAAAATTTCACTAAAATATGTTAAAGATTTGTCTAATTTCATATTAAACAATGTTTGTATATTTTATTTTCTTATCAAAGTTAAGTAGCATTCCTTTTATAGATTAATCAAGACATTTTTTTTTTAGTTTTCTGGATTTAGGCAGAACTTTTACTTTTGCATTTATATTCAGCTTTTCTTTGAACACTCCTTGGAATGCCCTGAAAAAGCCATTAATATCCAAGATGAAAATAAGCAAGTTGCTCTTCATCTAGCAGCAAAAAATAGCGTGCCACGTAGTGAAAGGCATGCAGATCTGGTGCGATGTCTTATGACGAATGGGGCGTGCACTCAAATGAAGGATAAGAATAATAAATTGCCCGTGGATCTTGTTCCTGAGGGTAATGCAGAGGTCAGTCCAACATGCATTATTATAGGCAATTTTAAACAAAAGCATTATGTGTACAGTAACCCATGTCAAAATATTTCATTATATGTGACTATTGGAGAAACTGAACGAGGTTGAAGAGATAAAGTATTTTTTTTACTGTTAACATTTCTTTTTACAATTATTATCAATTACTATTAAAAGTCCTATTGTTTAATTTTGTTTATCAAAGAAACACGTTACATAAAAAATGAGCTTATGATATAAAAATAGTAAAATTAAAATTATTTTATGATGATTTGTCACTTTACAGTAGCTGAGGTAATAGGTTTTGGGTTTAATCTCAAACATATTAAATGCCTGAAAAGCTGAAAAATGATAAAAAAGTCGTCAAACTCTAATAGAGAGGCAATTTGTCATGGACAGAAAAAAATAAAGCAATAGAAGCCCCATGCATTCACAATTTATTTTGTTTTACAATTAAGTTATAAGACATTACAACATATGGCATATAACGTCTGAAGAGTAAACTGTCTGTCAATGTGTTTATATATTTGTTTATAAATATATAAAACTCGATAAAACAGTTTATTCCTTAGACATATTATGCCTTGTATTAAATGCTTCTATAATTTTAAACAATAAGTGAACAAATATATTTTCTGTCTTTGTGTTGTTAATTCATGGCTATTTCATATATACCTAAAATAATTTGCGAACATATTTATTTCAGGTACAAAATCTACTGCAAAATGTATGGACTAAGACTGGCTGGAAAGTTCTAGTATAGGTTTGGCCAGAAACTATCAAAATAAATTACCTGCATGGCATTTGAAATTAAGTATTAGCTGTAAGAATGAAATAGAAGGTTGGAAATATTTGGCTGAATTGATGCTTTTACCTGCTATAAGATTAGTTTATCAACAATGATTCTATAATGCAGTAAATACATTACAGCGATGAACTAGAAATGAGAGGGGTTGTGTAAGTTTTTTCTCTTGTAAGAACTATCAAATAAATCAGATTATTCACTGACACATAAGGCATTTACGAAGAGTAATAGGTTTGGTACTGCTAACTGAATTAGGTTTATTGATTCATAAAGTTATGACTGATAATATCCAGAAAAGTGTGTATATTCGACAGTATAAAGTATGTATGTTGAAAACATCAAATTCTGGTGTAGTGCAGTTTGTTATTTTATTTTACCTACTTTAGCAGGATTTTTGAAAATTGGTGTTCTCTATTTATAGAACAAAAAGTAAGGGTACATGTACAATCGTTCATGTGTAATGATGGAACAAGCGACACGTTATTATCAGAAACAAAGTGTGATGAAAAAGACATAGTATATATATATATATATATATAGCAACTGCACTCCTAATTTATCTCTTTTGGCGTCATAATCCATCACAGTTAATGTTTCTTGCAAAAATAAAGTAAATGGAAATTTTCCAACTGTGTTGGATCTCATGTGCTTCGTGGATTAAATAACCAAGTTACAGCTCTCTAGGGCTCAAGTATAGCCTTTCCTAAATTTACTAGAAACAGTGTTTGAATAAGAAAAATAATGTAACAGTTTTAAAAGTAATTTATATGCGAAGCTCACTTGATTAATGTAAAGCCTTAGTTTGTGTATGAGCAAACTATCTTTTATACGAAAACTCAGTTCATCACTGGTCTTTACTAACTTCAAAAACTTGAATGGACGAATACATCACACTTATCTATAGCATGTTCAAATACATTCGATCTAGTGGTTAATCTCAAAATTGCATACCCTTTCACGCAAGTTAGCAATTTTCTTTTAGTGGAACCGATATAGCTTTGCTGATAGCAGAACAAGTAAATTTCAAAACTAACTTTAATACAGGAATACACTAGTTGTCCCTAAATTAGAAGTGATAGATTAAAGGGAAGGCAGTTAGCCAACACCACCCACCGCCAATTCTTAGGCTACTCTTTTACCAAAGAAAAAAATGAGATTGACCGTCACATTATAACGCCTTATGACTGAAAGGCTGATAAGCAATATTCCTACAAAATGAATTTCAAATATCGAAATTTGACTTATATTTTTACTTCATAACCTGGGAAATAAATACTTAAAATTGCGTTTTTATGTATGTGTATACAAATCGTACATCTTTAACAACACACTAAAAAGTAGACAAAATCTGATCAAGAGAAAGTGGTCTTATGTGGTCCAAATATTCATGGGATACGTAAATCATCCTAATTAATTTCGGGGATTATACGGACCATAAGTAAGGAAATATTGCTCATACGACAGAATGTTATATGCTGTTGGAATCGGTATTAACTACACTAATGATTCATAGAACTAGATGTTGCGTTGTTTTAGAAAGATATTACACTTCTAGTACTCACCAGTAATAGTCTAGTTCTTTTGCAAAAATATTTACGCATTTTATTAATAAAGCAGGAGCTTTATTCGTCCCGACTACTCACGTCGCTTAATCTTCCTCTTCCCATATAAGTAGCAGGAGAGTTCGTGCAATTCGTCTACTTCATCTGGCACATATGTCGTCTTGAACCACTGCACACGACAATATTAGATTTACAGTTATATTTGATCATGCGTAGTAGTTCGTACGGTGCTGGATCTTTGTCAGTAGAGATCGAATGAAGTGAACATCTGTCAAGTAGTGAAAAATATCTTATTTGCAGAAATCTTAATTCTCATAGTCACAGGTCAGCTAACGTTGAAAACCTCTCGAGTTCTTAAAGCAAAATCTCCCAGTTACATAGAGTTGAAATCAACATGCATTACTTAATTAATTTTTTTGGGTCCGTAAAAATTACATAACAAATAAAAATTACGTCTCTCAATATGGATGAACTGATATTTAGTGCCATAGTATTGCTATAGCCTTTACACTTGGAAACCGTAAGTATCCCCAAACTTTAGTTCCGAAGCTATTCTTTTATTACTTTCTCAATGAATGGTCCATGTAACAATCAAAGTCGACTTGGAAGTTTTTGACCTCTTTCAGCTATTTTTCATGTTCCCCCCAGAAAAAAAAACGTTTTTGCCGATTTTATCCATATTTTAATATGTTCCAGAGGACCTATGACTCGTACATAATTACGCGGATAACCGTTTCTTATAACTTTTCCCAATTTCATTGCTACTTTTGGGTTATTTCTACTGGACTATTTTGAACTAATGAGAAGAACTGGATTAACTGTCATTTTTGTAATGCAGCCACAGGTGAAAGAATGGTGCGCGGCATCACGACTTGACCATTGTACCTTGTATTTGTAATTTGTAGCCTACCAGCTAATTATTATGTAGTAATTGCTAGCAGTAGTAGAAAGTAGTGATTCAGTTTCACGAGTTCTGCTTTTATGCAAATATCCGTATTGTCAAAGTTAACAATGATGTATTTAAATATTTTTTTCAGCTATATTATAATGACGTAATTACAAAAGAAGTGTTAATTAATAATTGACTCCATAAATGTATTTTGCAAATAAATGTGCTATCTTATATAGTATTATCCGTGAAACTGTTTGCAAGAATATACACGAAGAATGTATCATTTGTAATTTAAAAATATAAAATGTAGCATATAATTACTGAGGTACTAACCCACAGATTAACCTGCTCCAGACAGACCTGTTTCTCATTACTTAAACATAATATGATGACTGCATACACGATATCTGCTACACAAGGTTTCGAGATCACACTTTTCCCAATATTTTAGATTTACTTACTTATCACCCAATAACTAAATACCAAAATAATGCATGCGAATTACGTAAAATAAAATAGAATACTAGTTTAGAGAAACCCGGATAAGGTGTGTATCTGACACGCAACTTCCATCTGTTGCTTTTCTTTGTTTTGTACTGTTAAGCAAAAAAATACACAATGGCCTATCTGTGCTCTATACTGGAAACCGATTTTTAGCGTTATAAGCCTCCAAACTTACCGCAGAGTCATCGGGGTGGGAGGAGGGCAGCTATTTCAAATAGTTTGGGAAGTTGAAACGAAACTTTTCTGATGTAATGAGGTATCTTCGTAGCAAAGAAATTCACGCAGTTGAAGATTGTAACTTTTGATTGGAGCTTGAAACAGTTAACTAAAATTTCTTTCATTCAATGTTCACGTGTTTCTTCTTGAATTATGTCTTAGAAGTTTATTGCGTCATGATGTTAAGATGTTTTTCATTCGTAAATATTTCTCCTTGTTGAAATATCAAGCATCTCTATGTAGGCATGAATATGAATAACAAGAGAAAATGGAACTTAAAACAAAAGTCGTAGAGACCTCCTTTTATAAATTAGATTCATAGAAATGTTGAGTAGTTTTGTCATTAAATACCTCAAAGTTTAATTAATTTTGCTTTATGAAATTCTTAATATTTTAGTTACTATAAAAATACTTATTACCCTAATCCCTTTTTTTTAAATCATTACACAAGTCGACAAATATTTAACATTTAAGAACATGACTTGTAAATACTACTTGTATCAGTACTAGAACAAATTGATTATAAAACTACGGAAAGGGCACATCAGTTTAGAACGTGCTTGTAATATATGCGCTTTATTTCTTGCCTTATATGTGTAAAAACGATATAGGTGCAGACTATAGGAGTAATAGCAGCGTCTTCATACGCAACGCGCGATGTCCTTGTCGCAGAACACGTTGTGTTGCACATTCCAAGCTGGCGTATGTGATACGGATTCGATCCTATGAACGCCTTAATCATAAAAGAGACGCCATTATTCTTTTTATTATATATTGAAAACGTTACCAACCTAAATGTGTGTCGAATAAATCAGAAGATTGTTTCAATATTATACATCAGGTTGATGTTTATTGTTTCTAACTATAAACAAAATCAGTGTTATATTTGTTTATATACTTGTGAAGTGTTTTCTAAATGAGATACTGAGATGTATCAAAAATAATGTAGCTTTCTAAGAAATCAAGACGTATCAAGATTAGTTTCCTGATGTATGAAGATTAATTTTTTTCTCTTAAGTTATGATCATGTCGTAAAAGTGGGTTAAGATCAATGGAAGTAAAACTTGTAGTTCTATTTTTTTAAAGAACTTGGATATCAATATATTTTTTTTCCATATTTATGGAACAATGACAAGATAATAAAAAACAACAACATACTTCTAAGGTTATTTTAAGTAATTTTAATATTCTGAGACATCCAAGAATAAAATATCATTCTTTCAGTGAATGATATGGAGTTTCATATAAACCTAACAAATTGACTTTAATGTAACCAGTTTCGTAAACTTAATTAAACGTGCTTAAACACGCATAGTTACTAAAAGGTAAAACACTGTACCAAGCACAGATTATTGAGGTAATGTGAAAAATAATTACATTTCATAGTAACAACATTTATTTTCAATACGTAATTATTATATTTACCAGAAAATATAACTAGGATATTTGACACAGAAAAATTTACTATTGTGATGAGCATTATTTGAAATATTAGGGGATTCAAGAAATGATTTATTTTTCTAAATAAATTATGCTTAAATTTTATTCGTGAATAACTTAAAAATACATAAAAAGTACACTTGAAGCAGATCCAACTTCCCATAGTTGAGAATAATATATCATCATTAATGTAACGGTTGTCCCTGTGCCTTTAAGATTAAATGTCCCATCAGCTATAGCTTTCGTACACAAATCTGTCCTTGCCCTTTGTGCATATTTTTCCATTGCTCCTAAACAAAAACTTTTTTTTTTCTTAAGGTGATTTTAGCTTTAGGGCTTTTTATTGTTCCACGTAAAATACAATAAACAGTTGTTTTGTGCTAATATCTATATGGTTTTCATGTTCTTAATAAATCCACATTATGAATAATGATTTGTCATTGAGCTATCCCTTGTCTGTTATCAAAACGTCAAATCTAAATAAAGAGCAATAACATTAATGCTATGAAATGTAAAAAAGGTATGACGACGTGACATAAAATACTGATATACCTTACCATCAGGGGATGTTTTCTACCTGTACTATATGTATTTAAACTTTCAGGTTTTTACAGTTTTGATCATAATTAATGTATTAAAATATCTACTATGTTTGTTGCATAATTTACAATGGATTGGTCAAATATGATGACCAAGATGTTTATCTTTATTTTGTACAGTTTTAGTAGA